ACTTCGGTTCTCACACCTGAAGACTTCAGACGTAAGAACTGAAGTTTCAGATGTGTGATCCGAACCTCGACAGCTAGACCTAAAGTGTTCAGATGCTCAATCCGAAAACTTCAGAGATCCAGATGACCCAAACTTCGGGTCCCACGCACGAGTTTTTTTCTCCGTGTAGAGTGCCATTTATTTAAAGTTTACAAACGTGGAAATTTCCACATCTCATCCACATTGGCAAGATGCAGCGGGAAAGCAGATTGAGGTTAGGTAGGTATATTTGGGCTCCCACCACCTCCGGCCTTCACAACCCGGCCCGTGCGCTTTACGCAGGTTCATTGGCGGCCATTCTAGACGTGTAGTGCGTTTGTTTAAGAAATAGATATCATTTTAAGTCACATCCGCCATCTTGGATTTCTGAATTTTCAAAATTTGACCCGAAATTCGAGTTTCCCGTCCGAAAATACCCACTGATACCAAGTTTCACCAAGATCGGCTGGATAGCGGCCGAGATAGCATTTTAGGTCATGTCCGCCATCTTGGATTTCTGAATTTTCAAAATTTGACCCGAAATTCGAGTTTCCCATGCGAAAATACCCCCTGATACCAAGTTTCACCAAGATCGGCTGGACAGGGGCCAAGATAGCATTTTAGGCCATGTCCGCCATCTTGGATTTCTGTCTGTCTTGGTAAAATTACCAATAATTGGTAAAAACGTGAGATGGTAAAGGTACCAACGGACCTTGGTAAAAACTCCGAGAATTTCTCTCCGGGCGGGCGGTGTGACCTGTAATTAAATTGACTACCTTCTTTATTTTAAAATTATCAGTTTTCTTTATAGAAACACGTTTTATATAAAGATGTAAAGATGCATGGTTTTTACAACACCTTAATGGAGCTGGTTCCTCCTATGAAATGTAATCCATTCCAGGGCAGGATTTTACTTGATTTTCGTATAAATAAATAAACCTTGAGTGGAAATTAAGCGGCACAAATGTAGTTAGTCTGATTCTCGCAGCTACCGTCCATTTTCAAAACCAACAAGATTGTTCCTGCTTGCAAAATACATTTTTCATATTTTTTTCCTAATTATAATACTTGCTCAGTACCGGTTGATTGTTTGCGCAGTTCCATTATCCCGACCTCCCGCCAAAACAAAGAAATGAAGAATTCATTCTGAGGAAGCGACCGGGGAAGGTGCATTTGGACGCACCTCTGCCAAACGGAACTATGCGCATTACGACGTGAGCCCTATTCTGCATGCACTCTTTTATGGGTCTCAGGGCTCATGTCTTAATGCGCATAGTGCCGTTTGGCAGAAATGCGTCCATTTGTTAGCCGCAGGGCCCGGGATGAAAAGAAAACATCCTGTTTCCCGGCGGATAAAAACACGGGATTGAGATACCGGCGCTGGGTCGAGGAGTGAGCCCTTTGACGGAGCCAAGGGTCGAATCATATTTGCAAACTTCAATTTAAGTTTCTCGCCGGGAATTCCGACTAGTTTTTTGCGGGGCGTAATTTCTGACCTCCCGAGCGTTTGATGTCGGACGCGAAACTGAAAAAGTTGCGCGAAATATATTCAGCGACCCGGCGACGGGGGAAGGGGGCGGGGGGGAGGGGTGGTCCGGGACCGTGCAAAAATATTTCCGCCTCGAAGAAGTCAAAGGGCCCAAGACGCGAGCGTTTAATTATTTTTTAAGAGAGTTCGGTTCCGTTCTCACTCTCAGGTTTCGAAACTCACGCTCGGGAAGACCCGCCGAGTTCGTATTTTGTTCGTCCAGTGTTGTCGGCCCGATTCTAAAAAACATAAAAATATTTACGGTCACGAAAATTTCGGTCAACGTGGATCTCCAAATAGTTACTGTATCACTGAAAAAAAAGTTCGGTCGTCACGGAAAAAAAAGTATCACAATCCCAACTGTACTCCTACCTGATTTTGGCGCCACAAATTAAGAGTAGTTGCCTAATCCAGGGGTATCGTTAAGTCAGCTAAAAGTGTGGTCGGATTAAGTATACCACTGGCTGGTGCCTTTACACTTATAGCTGGTGCAACTCCTCAGGTGGTTGGCGTCAAAATCAGCTGGAGGTAAGTTGAGATTGTGATACTTTTTTTTTTCAGTGATGAACCGAATATACGGTGTTCAATATCGGCCGTATTGTGCGGTTCATGTAACCGCTCACTCGTTCGGTTCATCACTGAAAAAAAAGTATCACAATCTCAACTTACTTCCAGCTGATTTTGACGCCAACAACAAGAGTAGTTGCACCAGCTATAAGTGTAAAGGCACCAGCCAGTGGTATAATCAATCCAACCACACTTTTAGCTGACTTAACGATACCTCTGGATTGTGCAACTACTCTTAATTTGTGGCGTCAAAATCAGCTAGGAGTACAGTTGGGAGTACCTATACGGGAATAGTACGGACATGTCGGTAATTTTGCAGTTAGGTCATGGTGCTTTTAGGGCCCAGAAAGGCAGCCGACCAATGAAATCTTATCCAGAATTATCTATTATTCCTCTTGTTACGACTCGTCGTTAGTGAACAGTGGCGAGGCTTGATTGGTCGATTTCCTATGTATCTCCATTTGAAACTATCGTAAAGAATCGATTATTAAGGTGTTCGTTGCGAACGCCCTGTTTATTGATCCCTTTCCATTGGTTTAAATGGCAGATCAATCGATACATCGCAAAGCACGCCACGCCACTGTTAGTAAAGTACGTATTTGACTTTGTTTTTGTATGGACTTACTCATTTTTGAGGTAGAACGCTCATTTATGAACATTCTTGGCCATTTTTGTGTGATATTGGAAACCGAAGATTGGAGGTGATATTTTTTGTGTTACAAGCCTGGCTGCCTTTTTGAGCCCTAAGAGCTCAATATTTCGGCATTTTCGTACTTTGACTTTATAAGTACTCTACTGTACAGAGTCATCCATCCATGACTGGCTCAGTCATTGAAGGCTCATGAAGCTATCAAGATTCAAAAAAA